GAGTTCAGAGAAATTCTGCCCGAAGGATTTCTTTGTGTGGGATGGACCTTGAGGCCTGAGAGATGGATGGTGGATAGTTCCGTTTCCTTGGCTACTGACTGGGAGGATAGCCTTCAACTCCCCAAGTGTATTTTCCAGTTTATGGAATCTCCGTCACACACGGTGTCATCCTGTTCCCATATTGTCATTTACGCTGGGGCCCAGCTGTGGGGGACGGCGAAGCCTTGTTAATGGCCGTCTCTTGACGTGTGGCCACGTGCTTTGAATCCTGCCCAGCTGAGAAATTGTCTGGAAGCTGCGTCGAGGTGGACAGCGATAATTTTTATCGCCTCTGTTCCTTCGTAACACAGTTCAGCCCTGAGGATTCGGGGCAGAATGAGGGATGGGGAAAAACCTGAGAACTCAGTGACTGACTTCGTCCTGGGACACTGCCCTGTTGTGTCCCCATTGGTAATCCAACCCCCGATAAAAAGAAAATTAAAGCAAGAGAGAAGGAATTATTTTCTGGAATAGAGAATTAGGTTGATTCAGCCAGTTGTTTGCCTAGGTGCCACATCTGCTGAGGCCAAACCAGAACCGGTTTTTCCCCAGTGTTTTGGAATGCTGTGTTCCTTGTAACACATTTTAAAACACGAAGTCTACTAATTTATTTTCTAAAAGAGAGAAGCCGAAATTACCCCAGATGGCTCCCATCTTTGCTTTTAAGTGTAATGGTCTGAGCCAGCGTGCCTTCTCTGCGCTCCTTTTTCACCGGGGAAGGTGGGCAGATTCAGTGCAGGGCCAGGGAAGCCACACTTGCTTTCATGATCTGCAGCAGACGAGGGAATCGAAGGATAGGGCCGTGTGATAACTTTCCCTGCCCTTGTTTATTTTGCTGGCACGCTTCCCTAGGGGCTTGCTTATTTGTATGAATGAGCAGCGGCCTGGCAGAGGTGGGTGGGCTGGGTCCAGAGGAGGCTGGGGTGTCAGAGTGAGTGGGCAAGGCCAGGCTCCTTAGGGCAGCCGCTGCTCACTGTGGTCTGGACAGAGTGGTGGCCCGAGAGGACAGCAGGACCCTCAGCTCTACCGGGCTTCAGTTGGCCAGAGAATAGTCAGGACACAGACGCATGCAGGAGAGCCCTAACTGCCTGTGACGGGAGCCCAGCCTTCGTTAGTTTTGGCCGCGTTGGGCAGGTGAGGCGAGGCTCAGGCTCCCCACACCCCGAGGAGTTGGCCCCCAGCGGAGATGAGGGCAGGGGGTGCATTGATTTGGCCGGTTTGCAGGTGTGTTTGTGTAGGTCCCCTGGGTTTGTCAGTTAGCAGGAGCGCCCTGAGTGGTTTTGCTGAACAGAGGCCAAGAACTGGCAACTCTCGAAGATGCGAGATTACTAACCAAATGAAGTTTGAAGATCCCCTGTGGCTGTCCCAGATCCTGCTTTCCACTTCCCTTCCTCTCTCCGTCTGCTACCCAACCTTGCGAATAACCAAGAGATGATTTCTCCAACACTTCTCAGAGCAAGGCGGTTTTTTGTTTGTTTGTTTGTTTTTTGTTGTTGAATCTGGGCCACCTCTGGGTGCGGCCTTTCAAGAGGATGGCTGGTGAGATTTCAGCCCTGTTCCCCGCTCTGAGCACCTGGCTGCAACACCCTGCATGTTCTTGAGCAAACATCAGAGTTCACCAGCTGTTTCACCCAGAGCCAGGCAGCTGGGCAGGGCTGAAAGGTGCCTTCTGCCCAGCCAGCATGGCTCAGTGGTTGAGTGTCGACCTATGAACCAGGAGGTCATGGTTCGATTCTCAGTTGAGGGCTCAATCCCCACTGTGGGGCGTGCAGGAGGCATGATCAATGGTTCTTTCTCATCAAAGATGTTTCTACCTCTCTCTCCCTCTCCTTTCCTCTCTGAAATCAATGGAAAAAAGAAAAGAAAAGAAAGAAAGGCTCCTTCTTAGCAGGGGAGATGAGCAGGAAGTGACTCCTGTAGTCCAGGTGGGCAGGCTCAGGAGGGAAGCCTGCTGGGAGCCCTGGTGGGAGGAAGCGGGACTTCAGGACCTGAGGGCGCTGGTGAAGGCGCTGTCTGTCCTTCAGGAGGGTAATCCATGTATTTTCTGACGGAAGATTTCTTCTACTTCATTGTTTTTTGCCAAGGTGACCCCTGAGTTACGACTGTTCATGCTTTCTTATGAGCATCGTGGCGCTCGGGCAGGGCTGTGCAGATGTGCACTGAGTTTAGAGCTGGGGGGCAGGGTCTGAAAACCAGCTGGCAAGAATCGGTCCGGGTGACTGCCTGGTGCTTCAGGGAGCCGAGGTCTCCGAGCCTTTGCCTGCTTGCTGTTCTCTTGGGGCTGCCTCCTGTCAAGCTGTCCTCGGTCCTGCTGTTCCAGGCCACTCATTTATCCTCAGAGGTCTCGAGGTGTTGCACAGGCACGTGATGTGTTGGACACTGGTGGACAGTGGAGCATCCTTTGTGGTCCTGCTAATCCGGTGCAGATAATAGTTGGGTACCACCCTCACTTTCTGCTTCCCCTCTCCTCACCCTGCAGCCTCCTGCTTCAGGATCACCACGGGGATAGGTTGGTTGGTGCTTATCACCAGGAACAGAATGCCCCTTTCCTTCAAGGTAAAGGTCAAAGGAGCCCAACCCCTGGGTGGGTCCCCACGGAGAACAGGCGGGACAAGAGCCTCTCTCCATGCACGCCATCTCCAGCTGCCATTCACTCTGGAAAGTTTCTGTTTCTTCTCTTTACACAAAGCTCAGGAGGAAATAGTGCAAAGCTGCTGCAAGTTGGCCAGACTGGAGTTGAGCATCACCCAACAAGCAAACTCAGCCACGATGAATTGGTTGAGACAATCATTCATTCATTCCTGTTCATTCATTCATTGCGGGAATGCTTACCCAAGTGCATTCTGGATGGAGGAAGAAATCAAATAGGCATAATATTCATTGCCTCTCCCCAAAGAGTTTGCAGTATACCCAGGGAGTTCATGTATATTCATTAGAGGAATCTTGCAGTTCTACAGGGTGTCATGTGAAGTTTTATTAGACATATGAATTATAATAAACAGTTTTTGAAATGCTATTTATTGAATAGCCTTATGATGCTATCTTAATCTTAAACTAAAATTGCCTCTATCAGAAGTTCATTCATGTTCATTAATATATGGTATTCCACTATTGATACTATAACTCAATTTCTATGTCCATTCTATTCAGGATGGATATTTGGGTTTCCAGTTTCTAAGCCAGCGTCCCCCCTCTGTAGCAGCTGTGCTAGGGTGTGCTCTCCTCAGGGCTTCCTCATAGCAGTTATGAAATGTCTGGGTATAAGTATTTCACATGATTTTTGTCAGTAACAGTGTCAGCCCCTTGTATTACTGTCTCAAGTCTTCCTTTGAGCTTAGGTTCTTTTGCTTTCACATCTTTGATGGTTATTATTTCTGTTTGTTCTTCAGGAAGGCCTCTCATTTTAATGCTAGATTTCCATTCGTTTTTCACTTTACCCATCTCTTCTCACATTATTTTTCTCTTTTGCACCTCTGCAGTCTGCATTCCTTCTTGAGTGTGTCTTCTACAACATTGATTTAGTTGTCTACTGTCATTTACAAATTTTAAATTATTATAAAATTTAAAATAATTTATATAATGTATATTAATATAATGTATGTATATATCAATGTAATATACATGTATATATTACATATATACATAATTTACATATGTATATATAAAGCCTTTTTAAAAAAATATATTTTATTGATTTTTTACAGAGAGGAAGGGAGAGGAATAGAGAGTTTGAAACATCGATGAGAGAGAAACATCGATCAGCTGCTTCCTGCACACTCCCCACTGGGGTGTGCCCGCAACCAAGGTACATGCCCTTGACTGGAATTGAACCTGGGACCCCTCAGTCCGCAGGCCGACACTCTATCCACTGAGCCAAACTGGTTAGGGCTATAAAGCCTTTTAAAAAAAATATATATATATCCTATTAATTTTCCACAGAGAGGAAGGGAGAGGGACAGAGAGTCAGAAACATCGATGAGAGAGAAACATCGATCAGCTGCCCCCTGCACACTCCCCACTGGGGATGTGCCCGCAACCAAGGCACATGCCCCTGACCAGAATCGAACCCGGGACGCCTCAGTCCGCAGGCCGACGCTCTATCCACCGAGCCAAACCAGTCAGGCTATAAAGTCTTTTTATCTAGCCTAATGCTGTCTTTATTTTGCAATAGAAGCTGTTTTTATATGGTCCCTTTTGCTTTTTTCTGTTCTGCTTTGTGATTCAACCATTATTGTTCTTTGTAGGGCCAGTGACTGTGAGCAAGCAAGGTTTATCATGACGCTTCAGCCTTCTCTGTTCTATCTTCACTTTACCCAGATCTGGGAAAATTTTCCCCTTTCCAGCCCCAGACTGGAGAGCCCTGTTTCTAGAAGACATGCAGCTATCTCATTCAGGGCCGAAGCGGATCTGGATGGCCCATCCTGTTGGGTTGGTTCCCTGTGCCACAGAATTACACCAGCCTTTGTCCTTCCCTCTCCTGCTCTCCTTCCTGCTCCCAAACTGGGACACAGCAGTCAGTAACCCCCCAGGTACATCCCGGTTCTCATCTGCCCTGCCCATGATCCAGGATGGCCGCACCAACCCCTGGCTCTGCTCACTCTCAGAGGGGTGTTTTCTAAAGGAGCTTAGAAAAGGGGTGCTGCCGAGGTGGGTTTGGGTTGGGGAACAGATCACCATGGAAACAGTTGCTTGCTTTGATGGCCACTGTAGCCTCTGGGTCCCTGGCAAGAACAAATGGTGGTGGTGAGTGAAAGCCTTCCTTCCCGTGGGCCGCTATGGTTCTCGGGGTGGCAGTTGTGTTTCCCCAGTTTCATCAGCGTTGGAA